GCCCTGCGGTCTCCGCGCCGGGTCCTGGCCATTGCACCGGCCAGAGCCCCCGCCAGCCCCTCGCTGGGTTGAGCCGAAGCTGCTGAGGGGCGTCCTGCCGCCTGGGGGGTCTCCAGGGCCCACGCTTCTAAGTGAATCTGAGCTGAAGCCGATGGGCTGCAAGGGTTGGGGGTTTGGGGTCGTAAAAGCCACACCAGGGAGGCCCAGTTCCCCAGGTCCCAGCGCAAGCAGCCCTCGCCCGCGCCTGAGCACCGGACGGTGCTGGGGGTTCTCTCGGTGCTCCCACGACCCAACTCGCGCCTTCCCGGCGCGTAGGGGAGAAGGTAACTCCTTGTGTACGTGGGCCCGGGGCCCCGGCTTCTGTCAAACGCCAGAGAGCAAGTATTTTGTGCTTTGCAGGTGCTGACACACAAAGGATTAAGCTTGGCTGTAGTCCAGCTGAACTTTATCGACACGGACTTGAGTTCCATATAGTTAGATCATGTCATAAGATATTATTTTTGAGGTATTTTTTATCTATTTTAAAATGTGGGAATAATTCTTAGCGCTGTGGGCTGTACACCGGTGGTGGACCCTGTCTCAAGGCCTCGGGAGGACGGGTCTGGGGAGGCCATGTGAGGACAGCAGAGCCTTTGGGGGATTTTGAGCAGCTGTTTTGTTGAGATTAGACCTGCAGGGCGGGGGCAGCAGGAGGGACACCAGCGCGCAGAGAGGAGCGGACTGCAGGTGACTGGAGGTCCCGCAGATGATGCCATTTCACCTGGTACCTGTACACAGGACAGTGAGAGCAGTGTGTTTCTAAAGTGTAAAGATCTCGTTCCTTCAGATTATTTATTTGGACCCTTTTTCAGACTAAAGTGTAAAATAAAATGCCAAATGTTTTTCACTGAACTGAGCTCCTTATTTTGGCAAGGTTATTAAGTATTTTATGTTTTTGTAAGATAATCGTGCCACAGCTCGCACGGTTGGAGGTGATACCATATTTGTGGTATCAGATGACTTCTTCCTACAACATATCTATGTTTATTGAGTGCTTTGTATGTGTCACACTGCTAGGTGTTGGGGCCTCCCAGGGTAGGATAGATGCAGCCCCTGCCCTGGGAGAATATAATTTTTTTCTGAGTCTCTGTCCTTGAAATGAAGGTGTTGAATAAGTACATATTATACTAATTTGGGGGGGGGGTGGCTTGAGACTTTACAGATTGAAAAATTTTTTTTTAAAGAAATCTGAAGATGACATTTTAAGTTAAGGCAGCAAATCGTTCATGTTTTTGTCTTGTGGGAAAAGTAAGTTTTTATTTTGCAGTTAATCATAATCATTTGTAAATGGGTGAGTTTTTATTATGTCTTTAGATGCTGAGATATTAGGCATCTGTTATTCTAGAGTTCCAAAATAGCAACAGTTGCCTTAATTTGGAAAAGTGCTGTTAAAAGTACTCCTGGGTATATGGTGACATGTATTATAATAGCACATCCATAGGAGGCCTTTTGGTAATTAAAATAGTGGGGATGATAATACCTGTTTTAAAAATTTAAAAAATAAAAATAAAAAATTAGCATATGAAAAGGAAAAACAGCACAGCACAAACTAGCTTCCTGAGGGCATTCAAGGTTAACTCCTGTCTTAGTGTAGAAATTGAAAATCATCGAGTTAGTTTCATACAATAGGGAATTAGTTATGATTCACAAACTATAGTAGATTCTAATTCTGCCTGTTTATTTTGAACCAGAAGATTGTAATGTTGGTAAAGTCTGGTATCTAAATGCTGTCTGTTCTGACAGTCTGTCCTTCCTTCACCTCATCTCTGTCACCCCATCCTTGCTTCAGTTTCTGTCTGCTCCCTGCCCTCTCCTGTTAGCCTCTTAGGGACTTAGTCTCCACCTTCAGCCTCAAGCCCATCCAATGTTTCCTAGTCCTGTGGTTATTTTCCTAACTTTGCTAAGGGTCTGTGTCTTAAATGCTTTCTGTCTCCGTGCCCTGGCACAGTGCTTGGCCCATCGTAGTCATACACGATATGTTTGTGGAATAAATCTCATTACTCCTCCCCAAAACCTTTAGTTTCTTCCAACTGTGGCTACATTAAGTCCAAGTCCTAGCCACAGTTTAGGGTTCCTGTGTACTAGGCCCGTCAGCTCACACGCATTTCCTCTCCGTATCTGCAGCAGCTCCACCTACTCATTCATACAGTTGCCCTGACTCGGTGCCCTTTTCAAGACGATGCCCATCAAGGTCTTTGTCCATTAAAGATCTGCTCTGATCTTCTGTGTTTTCTGAGAACCAGTTTCCTTATTGTTTATGCTTTTTAGAATATTTTTCTGTGCTCCTATCGGCATTGATTTTCTTGTGTTTATTATAGCTAACTGTATCTCCGTAAATGTGTTGCTTGGCACATGGTAGAGATAATTTGAGAGGAGATTTTATGTAATTTATCTTTTTCCCTGGTGAGTAAGGAATTTGGCCCCAGTTGAGGAAAGGGGTGGCTTTTGTCCTGTCTCCTGGAAGGAGTGTCATGTTCTTCAGGGAGGGCACCTGCGTCAGGGGCAAAGGAGGTAACCTAGCCATGGGGGACTGGAGGCTGAGTCCAGCCACAGGCTGATATTTCACCCATTCATGCCTACGTAATGAAAACCCAGTGTACCCTCAGTGTCAGAGCCCTAGAAGCATCCTGGACTCTGAGTATTGTCACACGTTGATGACCAGAGGGCAACGTATCCCTAAGGACTAGAGAGCTCTCTATTGGGAGCTCTTCCAGGATCTACTATACGCTCTCTAACTTTGTCCAGTTCTGCTTTGTATCTTTTTGTAATAATAAAACTGCAGTTATAAGTATAGATTTTCCTGAATGCTGTGAGTCCTTGAGAGGATTATTGAGCCTGTGGAACTTCCAAACTTACAGCCAGCTGGTCTGAAGTGAGGGTGGCCTGTGCCCACAGCCCTCTAGGAAGGACTTCACCCACGTCATGCAGGAAAAGTTTGTGTTATACCTAAACACATTAGTGTGTATTTTATGAAACAGTAGTGATCCTTATTATGTGCAATGTACTTGAAAATACATTATTTTTACTCTGTCATATTTCACTTTTAAATTGGTTGTTTACAACCCACATCCTTGATTTCATGGCCCACTTGGGGTCATTGATAGCAACCTGAAAAACAAGGGTTTTGGTTATAATGGTCTTTCTGATGTCTTTGCCATTGGTACTTTGAGGCTTGAGCAGTTGGTGTCAGACCATTGAACTTGGTCTTGGCCAGCTGTTCTCACAGGTCCCACCTTGATGGGCAGATGCTGTCCTTGGGGAAGGGCTGTCCCCTAGCAGGTATTATGAAGTGGCCCATGGGCCAGCCTGTGCTGGCAGTCAGCACCTCCCCTCCGTCAAACCTAGCGCTCACTTTTTGCCCTCTCCTCTTTTTTTAAGGTAACATCTGCCGATCACCCATTGCAGAAGCAGTTTTCAGAAAACTTGTGACTGATCAAAACCTTTCAGATAAGGTAAGCACCGTTCACTGTTTTAAAGAGGCTAACCGGAATGCCTTTGGGGCAGGAAACTGCGAAAAAATGTTTTCTTCTCTCCTGCAGTGGAGGATTGACAGTGCGGCGACCTCCACATACGAAGTGGGGAACCCTCCCGATTACCGAGGGCAGAACTGCATGAAGAAGCATGGTGTTCCCATGAATCACGTTGCCCGGCAGGTACCGTTATGTAAACCTGAGGGTGTACACGTGTGTTTTGTGTTACAGTGGGTCATTGACAGCAGTGCTGTTTCTGACTGGAACGTGGGCCGGGCGCCAGACCCAAGAGCTGTGAGCTGCCTAAGAAATCATGGCATCGACACAGCCCACAGAGCCAGACAGGTAGAAGCGATCTCATTTAATCTTTAATGTCTATTACGTAGAGTCTGGAACCTCAGAGGCTAGGAGAGGCCTGACCAGACTTAACCTGTTAGTGAGTGTGTATTCACGGTCCATTTCATTGCCACAGCGCAACCATTCTGTTTCACTGCTGGTCCACAGACTTGGGTCTTGGAATGTACTTAATAAAGCATGTAATTAGTGATTTATCGTGGGGAGAGCCCTGGGCAGGAGCTGGTACCTGAGCTGCAGTTTCCTTGTCTCCACCTCAGCTTCTGAACCCTTGGGCCACTGTGATGACTCTGCTCACGTAACAGGTGTTGCTGGGTAAAGTCCTCTAATATATTCAAGAGCATTTTCATCTGAGAGGGGCCTTAGGAGCCTCCGGCCACACTGACGTTTGGTAGGTACACAGCCTGCACCCCAGCACTGGAACGCCTAGGTTTAGGTTCCGAGCCCTGCCCAGTAGAACCTGTGGGGATGAGGCCAGTGCACCCTGTCTGCGCCCTCCAGGGAGGCAGGTGGCTGCTGCTCACCTGACGTGATGCCCGTGTGACCCAGGGACTGGGTTTTACATTTTTACTAATTTAATTGCCACCTGGGATTGGCGGACGCCTTACTGGATTACAGGATTCTAGACTCACATAACCACAGGGGAGCAAGGTTTCACAGCAGCATTCCAAGGGGAGACGCAGGGCCCAGTTTGTAATTCAGAACGTCTCATGTCTTGTTTTTCCCGGACTGTGATTGTTTTATGGAGATTCAGTTGACTTTTTAAAAAATCTGGCTAAAATCTTCTAACTTCCTTTCGTACCCAAACTAAGGAAATGTCCAGGCTCCTTAGGCCTAGCAGGACTGTGGGTTAGCCTCAGAGGACAACAGGCCATGTCCCGAGATGGGCTTTTGAGGCCTTCAGAACAAGGAGCTGACTGCTTTGAAAATCAGCGGTTAAATATGTCACATCAGTGAGTGTGGTGGCAGTGTGAGCACTAAGATTTAGTGTTCGTGCTTGAATCAGAACTTTAACCCTGTCTTGCTAACTGGTGGAAAGCTTTTCAGTTCACTTTGCCACCAGCACTGTGGTCCATCTTTACCCTCTTCCTTACTCTTTAGGGAAGGGAGTGGTGGGTAAACCCATTTTGCAGATCAAGAAACTGAGTCCTGGAGAGAATAAATGACTTATCAAAAGTTATCCAGCTTCAAATGGTGGAGCTGGGATTTGAACATCGCTTTGTTTCAATAAAAAAATCAAGGTGTGAGCCAGAAAATTCACAAAACAGAATTGTCTTAGAAATACTTCTAATACATTAATGATGCCTCAGAAATTGGTAAGACACATTATTTTTGGCTTACATAAGTTTACTCTCATCTGTGAACCTGCAGTGTCTGGCTGTGTTGTTTGACTGTGACCCTTTCTTAAATGGGATTTTCATTGGACAGGAGGGAATTTTATCATTTGCCCATTCATCTCATCGAGCGTCTGCACACTTTGCCAGCCCCTCCTTTGTACTCTTTTAAAGAATGTAGATGTATGTCAAGGAGTTCTTCAGAATTATGAGCAATCATACTTCTATATTTTCTATTTTTCACCAAGATCTGATGGTTTCTCATATCGAGGAGTTCTTCAGAATTATGAGCAATCATACTTTTATATTTTCTATTTTTCACCGAGATCTGATGGTTTCTCATACACTTATATACTAAAAGTAGGTACAAAGAAATAATTTTAAATGCACATGCCATAAAAAAATCAAAGCTAGAAACTTTGTTTTTTAAGAACATTGGTAATTTAGAAGTAGCATTCCACATAATCTGTTTTTTGTCTTTTTCTTTTCCTGTTGTCTTTCAGAAAATTCAGTCTTTTTTAAACTTCAAAGCGCTAATAAGATATGTTTTATAAATTAGCGTCACATCTGATCTTTAATTTTAGAATCTCACTAATGTTTACAGGTTTTCTCTTTAGTCATTGTCACAACTTGTACAAGAACTATTGTATTTTATTTCTTAAAATGTTCCTTTTCCCAGCATTTTCAGCTTGGGTTTAATAAATAAAATACACGTAGGGTGCTTTTTTCTTTGTCTTGGATGCACAGTCTATGCTCTTGAGTGAGTGGAGGCTCACGTCCGGTCAGTTCTGTGGAGATGTTTACTTTATTATACATTCTTTCCTCTTTTCAGTAAACTTCTCTGGCATGTACACAGAATCACTGTAAGCTCAGTCCGTTTTTACAGCATGACCAGTGCTTGCTGCTTTCTCTCCACTGGAGGTCACCACGAAAAGTTTGTATCTTGTCTTTCTGGCTCTCCTGTCACTCCTGTGCTCTGATTCTCCATAGTGCCCTGTGGCAGGGTCTCGTGATCACGCTGGGTCCTGTCCCCTGACAGTTGTGCACAGTTATCTTCCTGCTCTTGCTGGACATTGGGTGGTTTCCTGTTCGGGATTCTGTGAATATTTTTGTACGTGTCTTTCTGGGAGCACCTGTGTGAGATTCTATTGGACATGCACCCAGCCTCACACATTGTGTCCTGGTTGGATATACACCTGGATGTGGGGTTTTTTATGGGATTTTTTTTTTTTTTGAGCAATATGAGTTCTTCCTATATTTTGGATATTAATCCCTCATTGGATATCAAATGTATCATTTACAAGCATCTTCTCATTCAGTGGGTTGCTTTTTTGCTGTGTTGATGGTTTTTTTTTAATTTGTTGGTGTCCCATTTGTTTTCCTTTTATCTTTTCCCTGGGAGACATATCCAAAAAATACTGCTAGGACCCATGTCAGGACCCAAACCAAACTTTGTGGTTTTAACTATCTTACATTTAAGTCTTCAGTACGTTTTGAGTTTTTTTCTTGTATATGGTGTAAGAAGGTGATTTAGTGTCATTGTTTTGCGTGTGTCTGTCTCCAGTTTTCCCAACACCATTTATTGAATGGACTGTCTTTACCCCATTGTATGTTCTTGCCCTTGTCAAATACTAACTGACTCTACAGGTGGGGTTAATTTCTGGGCTCTCTGTTCCATTCCATTGATCTGTGTGTCTTTTTTATGCCAGTACCATGCTGTTTTAATTACTGTGGTCTTGTAGTACAGTTTTATATCAGGTACTGTGATCCCTCCAGCTTTGTTCTTTCTCAGGATGGCTGTAGCTATTCGGAGTCTTCTGTGTTTCATATTAATTTTAGGATTATTTGTTCTAGTTCTGTGAAAAATGCCTTTGGTATTTTGATAGGGGTTGAATCTATAGATTGCTTTGGGTAATAGAGATGTTTTAACAATGTTAATTCTTCCTGTCATGAGCATGGCATATGCTTCGATTTATTTGTGTCGTCTTGAGTTTATTTCAGCAATGCCTTTTGGTTTTCCAAGTACAAGTCTTTTACCTCCTTGGTTAAATTTATCCCTAGATATATATTTTTTAATGCAATTGTAAATAGGATTGTTTTCTTAATATGTCTTTTGGGTAGTTTGTCATTGATGTGTAAAACTGCAACTAATTTCTGAATATTTATTTTGTATCCTGCTACTGCACTGAATTTATTTATCAGTTCTAGTAGTTTTTTGGTGGAATCTTTAGGGTTCTCTATATTCAGTATCATGTCATTTGCAAATATGACAGTTTTACTTCCTCCTTTCCAGCTTGGATGCCTTTTATATCATCTTGTCTGATGGCTGTGGCTACGACTTCCAGTTCTGTGTTGAATAAGAGTGGTGAAAGCAGACAGCCCTGTCTTGTTCCTAATTTTAAGGGAAATGCTTTTAGTTTTGCCCATTGAGTATGGTATTGGCTGTAGGTTTGTCATAATGGCCTTTATTATGTTGAGGTATGAACCCTCTGTTCCTACTTTGCTGAGCCTTTTTATCATAAATGGGTGCTGGATTTTGTCAAGTGGTTTTTCTGCATCTATTGATACGATCATATGATTTTTGTGATTTGCAGATACTGTACCAACCTTGCATCCCAGGTATGAATCCCACTTGATCATGGTCTTTTTAATGTATTGCTGGATTCGGTTTGCTAATATTTTGTTGAGGATTTTTGTACTTGTGTTCATCTGGGATATTGGCTTGTATTTTTCTCTTTTGTAATGTTTCTGTCTGGTTTTGGAATCAGCGTAAGGCCGACCTTGTAAAATGAGCTTGTGAACCTTCCTGGTTCTTAAAATTTTTGGAATAGTTTGAGAAGGATAGGTGTTCATTTTTCTTTGAATGTTTGGTGAAATTCACCTGCAAAGCCATTTGGTCCAGAACTTTTGTTTGTCGGGAGTTTTTGATCACTACTTCAACTTTGTTGCTAGTATGTCTGTTCAGATTTTCTGTTTTCTTCCTGATTGAGTCTTAGAAGATTGTGTATTTCTAGGAATTTACTCATTTCTTCCAGATTGTCCAATTTGTGGGCATGTAGTTGTTCGTAATATTTTCTCACAATCCTCTGTATTTCTGTGGAATCAGTCATTACTTCTCCTCTTTTGTTTCTGATCTTGTTTATTCCAGTTTCTCTCTCATTCTTGATGAGTGTGGATAAAGGTTTGTTAATCTTGTTTATCTTTTCAAAGAACCAGCTCTTGGTTTTATTTCTATTATTTTTTTAGTCTCTATTTTGTTTATTTCCCCTCTGATCTTTATTTCCTTCCTTGTACTAACTTTGGGCTTTGTTTGCTTTTTTTTTCTAGTTCCTTTAGGTGTGAGGTTAGACTGTTTATTTGAGATTTTTCTTATTTCCCGAGGTAGGCCTGTAATGCTATGAATTTACCTCTTAGTACTGTTCTCGCTGTGTCCTGTAGATTCTGGGTCATTGTGTTTTCATTTTCATTTGTGTGTGACATTTTAATATGTTAACTGAATTCTGCATTGTTACTAAGAAATTGAAGATGAAGCATAAACTTGGCATCTACATATTTTGCTATTTTATGTTTACTCTAGAAACTTTATCAAATTTCTTTGCAATACAATTTTAGGAAATAGGTTAATTCTATTTTCATTTTAAAGTACCCTAAATTTAATTTTTGAGTAACAGATTCTAGTATAGCAATTTTTTTTTAACTGCTCTGTATCCTCTAGGTTTGATTGGTGTAAATGTAAACACTATGTTTTGACTTCTTAATTCCAGGTGACTAAAGAAGACTTTGCCACGTTTGATTACATGCTGTGTATGGATGAAAGCAATCTGAGGTAATTCCCTTTCTGAAGGGTATTTCTGTTCAGCTCTCATTTTAATAATAGGCCAAGTATTTTGCTGTCCAGGTGATTTTTCATTATCTTAAAGTTTTAATAGTGATGGCCACTATACAGAATTAATTTATTTACAGTAGTAAGAAGTTCGGAAAGTAATTTAGAATTTTTTTCTTTTTTACAAAGAGACATGCCCTCCTGGGTTGCAGGTTGGATCCCTAGC